GAGTTCAGTTGGTTGGCTCAAAATAAAGCTGAGCTCTGATACAAAAACAAAGATGAAACATATTTCAGCCTCACTGTGCAGCTAAGAAAAACGTGCTGTTTTTCTTAGCTGCACAGTGAGGCTGAAATATGTTTCATTTTTGTTTTGTTTTTTTCCCTCAGTTCAGATGGGGAAAAAAACATTGCGTTTCTGCAAGGCAGGGGGGAAAATCAGCAATCTTAAAAGCAAAAAACAAACTTTCCTCAGAAGACACGAGTTTGTAACCTGAAACCACATTTTTCTGGTTTAATTTTCATGATTATAAACTTGACAAATTTATCCAAAGGGTTGGTTTTAGAGGAATATATCCAAACACTGAATGCACTACCTTTCTCTCCACTGGTCTCACCTGGTTTGTTGGTGTGCAATGAGTCTGCTGCTGCAAGATGAACAGTCTTATCAACATATTACAAAGTGATGAATTTGATATGACACAAGAATTAGTTTCATGCAATAAATCTGTCAAGAATTAGCATCTAAGCAGCAATGACATTTTTATTGATGCTCTTTTCAGCTGTCGCTCTCTTAAAGACTTGACTCCATCAAAAAATGCTCCAACTTGTATTTTTTAAAAGGATTTTTGAAGAATAAAAAACAGAAATATAAGAACTGTGACTCATGTCACATTGTTAGGATATATATGATAAACAAAATGTTTAGTTTGGTGCATTTCATCCGTTCTGATTCTGTAATTAACAATTTAGTAAATTAACTCTTCTGTAAAGAAAAGAAAACATCTTCAGCGGGTTAATTCAGCATCCTTAGTCAAATTTGTCAATGGTTTCCCAGCTGAGGGAATTTATAAAAACAATTCTCAACAGTCCCAAGTCTTGACACATGCTGTTGGGCATTTCAGACTGTGTATCCTTCAAAGATCCTCGCTTGAGCTAAATATAGTTCACCTGTGCAACACCTCCAGTGTGCACATACGCACAGCACAGTGTAAACGGATAGATGGATGGATGGATGGATGGATGGATGGATGGATGGATGGATGGATGGATGGATGGATGGATGATTGTGAGAACAAATGTGAGTCACGCAGCAACATTTGCTTTTGTGTTCAGTGTTGAAGGTCTTTGGAAATAACTGAACTGAACCTGGTTTAAGAAAACAAGCAGCCAACATTCATTCATCGCGTTAAGTCCCTGAAATTAAGTCAAACAGAGAAAAACTTCTCAGTTTCCATGCAAATTGGAGTCACTGTTAGGTCGTTGTTTTTCATTTTCTGATACATGCAGCACTTTATCCTGGAGACAGAAGTAGCTACTGGGCAGATGAGCTGCTTGGTAATCTGCAGGATCACATGGACACATTCTACTGATGTTCTTTGAAAGGAATGTTAAAAGCCTTTCAAATATGGCTCTCTGGAAAGGTTAGAAACAATTAATATCTTACCTGCTGTAGATAGCTTTTTAAACAACCTCAGTTTGTAGAAACAGAGTTTGAATATTGACCAATTTGACAAACTATTCTGACAAAGGTGGAGACCAAAGTGGTTTGCTGCCATTTGAAAAAAACAAACAATAAATAATAAACAATAATAAAAACAATTATAGAGAGTAAGGCAAATGTTATTCATAAACCTTCACAACACTAGTGTAATTCTTTATAAAAACATGTTCATATTATTTTGTTTTTAAGATTCTCGCCATTAGCTCATCAATCCATCAGAACTGGGCCCGTATTTATCAAACGTCTTAGAGTGGATTTTTGGACTTAAGGGCTGAACAATTCTTAGATTTGCTCCTAATCTCAGACATAAGTGTAAGTGCCAGTTGTCCAAATTCTTAAGTCTAAGAATCACTCTTACTCTCAAGAAAAGTTAAGACTGCTCCAGAGGACTCTTAAGTGGTTAAGAGTTGCCACTAGTGGTCTGAGATGGACTGAGAAGTCAGAGATTACAGCTGTCCTCCTCCTCACCTGAGTGTTATTCTCAGTTATAAGGTGGAAAACAGGTTTAATCAGAAATAAACAAAAGAAACAAAGGAAAAAAACTGTGCATAATGTTGGACTAAAAGGCGGATATTTGTGTGGCTTTTGGAGAAAATATTGAACATACTGAGAGCATTCCTGTCTCTCCACCCCCCACAAAAAAATTAAATTACAGTGGGATTGAACTTTTCGTTTATTATATTAACAATCACACAACACAATAATGGGGGAGGGGGGGCTCCTCTTGGACCAAGCTGTTAATGACGGAGCGGGGTTGTGTGCGTGCATGTTTGCGTAAAGCCGGTGTTGTCTGCAGACAGGGACGAAGAGGAGAAGGGAGCAGCTCAACATTACCTCAGGCTCTGAGACATAAAATAACTTTAAAGCTGCTGAGTTTTTCATTGAAAATTTTTTCATCTGTATTCATGATGCAAACGAGGACATTTTATGTAATTTACAGACAATCAGTACAAGGCGACAACATTAGTGTGCTGAAAATGAGTTTATCTTAGGATTTTCACAGTCTGATCTTGACATTTCTTCGACAATATTCTTGAACATGAAATCCGAGGCAGTGATTGGTCCATGTCCTACATCAGAATCCCCTGCCATGTCAGGGTTTTTCTCTGACTACATCATCCAGGATCAGCTTTGCGGCACAGCCAGGTGTCGCAAATCAGCTCTAAGCCTGACACTTAAGAATTACTCATACACTTCACTTAAAGTAAGACTGAGATGCTTGATAACAGACTTTTACTCTCAGCTTTTAACTAAGAATTTTTTTACACTTAAGTCCACTCTTAGCAGCATTCTTTAGAGGAATTCTAAGTTTGACAAATACGGGCCCTGATCTGTGTTTCTTCAAACTAAGGTTCTTCAAGAAGGTATGCACAACTGATAAGATATTAATTGTTCACAACAACCCAACAGAGCCCCACTTTAAAAGATGTAAACTACAGCTTTAAACCAATTAAAGGCTTCAAAAAGAAAAAAAATAAGTAGGTCCTCTGGATGGGTTCTTCTGTAGTGAAACGTTTCGTCTCTCCTCCAAGAGACTTCTTCAGTCTGAAGAGTTTCAGGTGAACTCATCCTTATAAGCACTGCCTCCACATGGACAAACAGGTTAGTCACATGCAAAAGAGGGCCATCGACTAACAATAGGCTTGATTAGCTCTATTGTTCATAGAGGGTCATGTGCTCCATCACCTGACTTATTGGTTTGGATGCTTCGGCTGTGGTTATTTGGTGTTGCGTTATGTGTATGTAGTGAGTGCAAGCAGGGCTCAACGTCCCCTTGTTTTTGCATCTCTTTCCCTATTTGTGTTGGGTATCATTGGGGTCCTGATTCACACCTTTTGCTCACAGGGGGTTGAGTCATACTTGCAATAACAGCATTGTAGGAGGAGGACAACTGGACACGAAGGCCTCCACCTCTGTTTAACGGTGGATGGTCTTTCTTCACAAAGATGGCTTCTTTTACTCCTCTCCCAAAACAACGTTCCTCTCTATCAAGGATGAGAACATCTTCATCCCTGAAAGAGTGACCGCTGGCCTGTAGATGAGTGTAAACTGCAGAGTCCTGACCCGACGAAGTAGCTCGTCTGTGCTGGCTCATTCTTTTGAAAGGTGGCCATTTTGTTTCCCTAATGTATAACTGTTCACAGTCCTCCTGACACTTAGCATGTACTATATTACTCTGTTTTTGCCGGGGAACTGGATCTTTGGGGTGAACTTTGTCGTAACCAATTAAAGGCTTATTATGCCAGGAACATGTATCCCCCACTTTTTTCATGCCATATAGTTTAGGCTTTTTGGTTAAATCTGGAAAATTATTTGATGCAAAAGACCTTTGCAATTAGTTAGTGTTCAAAAACAACACAGAGTCATTCTACAAAACTAAAGTTTAGTTCAGTGTTTGTAAATTATTGCATTATAGCCATTGTTGTTCTTGCCAAGGCCAGCTTTGACATCCATATTGAACTGGGTTGATTTCTATGTAAAGTTATCAATAATAATAATAATAATAATAATAATAATAAAAATCATATTTATAATAATAATAATCTTTAATTTACCAGGCAGATCAATAATTTATTTACAATGATGACCTGAGCAGCAAATGTATCCATTATAAAAGTGCATTCAATGATTCCTTTCCAAGAGTTTTATTCAAATCTATCCAGACATACATGAGCTATTTTGCTAACAGACAGTCAAACAACCATGCACACACATTGGTAACTGCTTTATTATCTGCCTTTTTGATGGTGAGGAAACACATCAATCACTTAGCAGATATCAACGTGCAGACACATTTTGATATATTAATGAGCTTTTTGTTTGAAAACAAAACAGTTTAATCACAGTAAACCTGATTTCAGCCCCTCAGGTTAGGACCATCCTTCCTGGATGGAGGGCCCAAGCAGTGGCTGGGTTGCGGAGCTCACCACCCCATGTGCGCTGCATGATGACGGTGGGAACGACAGCAGCCCGGTGTTTGAGGTAGCTCTGCAGAACAGCTCCTCCAAACGCAGCCCTCAGTTCACAGGTGTCGAGCTGCTGCAGTCCTTCAAGCTGCTGATCATCCCCTGCTACACCCTCGTGGCCCTGGTGGGCGTCTTCGGCAACTACCTGCTCCTGTACGTCATCTGCCGCACGCGCAAGATGCACAACGTCACCAACTTCTTCATTGGCAATCTGGCTTTCTCTGACATGCTGATGTGTGCCACGTGCGTCCCCTTCACGCTGGCCTATGCCTTCAACCCTCACGGCTGGGTCTTTGGCCGCTTCATGTGCTACTTGGTGTACCTCATCCAGCCGGTGACGGTTTATGTGTCAGTCTTCACTCTCACTGCCATCGGTGTGGACAGGTAAGTGAACCGAACTTTTCAGGATTCAAAACAGCCGTTATTTTGTTTGTAAATTTAAAAACTCATATTGCATTTGATGTTGAAAAGATTCGGAGATGAATGAGCCCTCACAAAAGTCCTGAACTGCACATATTTCTTGTGATGGGTAAAACCTGTGAGTACAATAAATCTGAAGGGGCTTTTCTATGTGCACAGCAGGCTTTTTTGATGAAGACTCACTGTTTTCAGTGAATAGTGTTTCCTCAGTGACTGCTCACAATGTTCTGCAGCTTTGAGGCGATACGATCCATTAATGCCATCCTCTTGGTTCATTCAAATGCAAATCATTCTGATAGGATGAAAGATTATTTATCAGACAATAATATGTTTCTCTGTCACTGTGTGGCACAAATCTTGCTCTGTCTGACCTTGGCTGCAGTGGCAGGGATGAATTAACATTCCTATTTGTGCCAGCATGAAGTCATATTTTTCTAGTTGGAAACTGCCAATTTGGCATCGAGTGAGTTCTCCTGGGATTTTTGAGCATTTATAATTTGTGTCGCTTAAGGGCGTAAAATAATTTGTGTGTCGATTGCTGATGGCAAGCACTAACTAGAGTTTTTCTTTTTCCATCCCTGCAGTGACTCATAGGTGACATTTTTTCCTGTCAGTTTCTATCAGTTTTTTTTCTCCTAACTCGTCTGCTCTGCCTCCTCCTAGATATTACGCCACAGTACACCCACTGAAGAAGCGTATCTCCGTCTTGGCCTGCACTTACCTTCTGTCTGGGATCTGGCTCCTGTCCTGCGCTCTGGTGGCTCCGGCTGTGGCTCACACCTACCATGTGGAGTTTAAAAACGAAGGCTTCACCATCTGTGAGGAGTTCTGGATGGGTCAGGAGCGAGAGCGGCTGGCCTACGCCTACAGCACCCTGCTGATCACCTACATACTGCCTCTGTCGGCGCTCTGCATCTCCTACCTGTGCATCTCAGTCAAGCTGCGGAACTGCGTTGTACCGGGCCACCACACCCAGAGCCAGGCGGAGGCCCAGCGCATGCGCAAGCGCAAGACGTTTCGCCTTGTGAGCTTGGTGGTGGCAGCTTTCGGCATCTGTTGGATGCCCATCAGCGTGTTCAACGTCCTGCGGGACATTGACATCGATCTGATCGACAAGCACTACTTTCTGCTCATCCAGCTGCTCTGTCACCTTTGTGCAATGAGCTCGTCCTGCTGTAACCCGTTCCTCTACGCCTGGCTGCACGACCGTTTCCGCGCTGAGCTCCGCAAAATGTTCACATGTCGGCGTCGCATCGGGATCTCAGCCAACAACTGTGCCACAGCCAGTGTGGTTCTGTAAAGTACTTTTGTTTCGTGTTAAATTAGAGTGCATTAGAAAAGTCTAGACTGCTTTCTTGCCATTTAATAATTCATTTCTCAAACATTTTATTCACAAACTCACCCAGGGGTGCAGTGTTGATTGTTCGTTCCCATTTTAAAACTATTTTCCTTTTCATGCCTCTTTGTGTTTCCTGTGTCAAATACCAGCAGGACTTTATATTGCTTCTTCGTCGAGATTCAAAATGCCTGGACCGTTTTTCAACCATATGAAAAGTTTCAATGCCAATGCCATAAAACAAAAGAGTGCAAGCTTTATGCTTTTTCAAAGGGTTAGTTTAAAGATGAAAAGAGATCAAAATGATCCACAGTTCAAAGAAAGCTCCCTTTATTATCTGCTTGATGTTTCAGTCACACTGCCCATCTTCAAGCTACTAAACTAATTGTGTTGAAAGCCTCCATCTTTAAAAATTCATGCGATACAACACACCTGGTCATATATAAATATATATGTCCCTGACAATATCTAAAAGTTGCTTTAAATTTAAAACGACTTACATCGAATATGCATTACAAGCTATTGAAATGCATTCATTTAAAAAAAAATGCTAAAGCACCTGTAGAGGAAATTAAAAGAAATGACATGTTGAAAAGCCATGTAACTGTTTTACAATGATTCCAATATTGGATAAAAAGAAGAATAGGGTTGAAGGTACGAGCACACTACTAGTCCTGTGTCCGTGTCACCTCCTTGGGCCTGGAGATATGTGGGGATTCGTGGGACGTTGTCACACAGCGTTTTGGACCCTCATCTGTGGCAAGCTATTGTCTGGCAGAATGCAACCAGGCTGGATATCCAGGCTGATCCCACTTGTGTTCCAATTAGGGAACAACAGGGAGACATGGTTGGCCACAAAAGGACCTCAACATGAGGTGAGCTGTCCAAAAACAGTAAAATGTGGATGCAAGATTGTTCTGTGCCATCATGTTTCTCCAAATCACTACTAGTCCAGACAGGACCTGAAGTCATATCTTATGACTCCTCACATCGACTGCACTTGATAGTCATCTGTGGTAATGCAGAACAAAGAATCATTGCAAAATATGATACAACACCTGTAGTTATCATTCTATGCCTCTCAGTTGTGACACCATTCCAAGTGCGTCCATCTTTGCTCTGGTGTTAATCACATCCTACACTTCTTATAGTGAGCCTGTAGTCCAGCTGATAATAGCTGTTGAGAAACGGTGAAAATGACATGGTTTGTTGTAAACAGTCCAGTATTTGTGTGTCTGGGTTGCACAGACTTACTATATGATAAGGGTGTTCAGTAAAACTTGGTGCAATATACACCAATCATCTTTTTAGAAAAAAATGTGCCAATTGTGATATAAGCACCAAAGTTTGGTATGATTGATTTTAAAGTGTCCTGATACATCTCAGTAATCCAGGTAGAAAAAAATCAAAGACAAAATAAGTAGGTCCTCTGGATGGGTTCTTCTTTAGTGAAACGTTTCGTCTCTCGTCCAAGAGACTTCTTCAGTCTGATGAGTTTCAGGTGAACTCAGCCTTATAAGCACTGCCTCCACATGGACAAACAGGTTAGTCACATGCAAAAGAGGGCCATCGACTAAAAATAGGCTTGATTAATTCTATTGTTCATAGAGGGTCATGTGCCCTCTATAAACCTTATTGGTTTGGATGCTTCGGCTGTGGTTATTTGGTGTTGTGTTATGTGTATGTAGTGAGTGCAAGTGGGGTTCAACATCCCCTTGTTTTTGTATCTTTTTCCCTTTTTTTGTTGGGTGTCATTGGGGTCCTGATTCACACTTTTTGCTCACAGGGTGCTGAGTCATACTTGCAATAACAGCATTGTAGGAGGAGGACAACTGGACACGAAGGCCTCCACCTCTGTTTAATGGTGGACCATTTTTCTTCACAAAGATGGCTTCCTTTACTCCTCTCTCAAACCAACATTCCTCTCTATCAAGGATGAGAACATCTTCATCCCTGAAAGAGTGACCGCTGGCCTGTAGATGAGCGTAAACTGCAGAGTCCTGACCCGACAAAGTAGCTCATCTGTGCTGGCTCATTCTTTTGAACGGTGGCTGTTTTGTTTCCCCAATGTATAACTGATCGCAGTCCTCCTGGCACTTAACAGCATATACTATATAAGTCATACTATATACCATAAGTCAGGTGATGGGGCACATGACCCTCTATGAACAATAGAGCTAATCAAGCCTATTGTTAGGCGATGGCCCTCTTTTGCATGTGACTAACCTGTTTTTCCACCATGTGGAGGCAGTGCTTATAAGGCTGAGTTCACCTGAAACTCATCAGACTGAAGAAGTCTCTTGGAGGAGAGACGAAACGTTTCACTTAAAAAGAACCCATCCAGAGGACCTACTTGTTTTTTTCTTTTTGATGTCTTTAAAGTATTTCTCAAATCTGCATAATTGGACGTTTGACAATCCATGATGTTGGCCTTTTGTCGAGTTGAGCTTATTTCCACACAATAATCATATAGTAATACAATTATTTGGGCAATCTGAATAATTGCTGTCAATTTATACGTTTGCTTATGTAACTAGCCTAGTTAGTAAGAGCATACTGTATGTAGCTTATGGCAATTGGTGGAAGAGAGGTTCAACAGACCTGCCATGTGTTTCCTGTCCAAGTCTAACTCTAGTCCAGTCAGCAGTAGCCTACTAACAGTGATTTTGCCAGCCATTAAAAAGAATGGCCACCATCTTGGATTTTTAGATAGCCTATCAGGTAGAATTGTTTTTAAGACTCTTGGGAACATGTAGAACAAAATTTGGTGCTTGTAACATTTTTGCACGATTCTTGTGCAAAATTGGTTTTAGCTGCTTCACAACTACTACTTTGGTCTGACTTGAGGGGTAAAGACTTTCACGTGTTGGAGCTCTCACGTTTGAATTGATTTTGAAATTGGGTCGTGGTGAAATCTGTATGTTTAATTAACATGCCAGGCTAACCCCTTAATGTGACTCCCACCAAGCATTGCGTGTTGTTAAATGCTGTCTAATGCATCCACAAAGCATCTTGTGTAAATGAAAAACAATGAAAAAGACAGACAATATTTGGACTTCCAATACATAAAGTTCCAATGCAATGTAAAGAACCTGTGAGAAACATTTTAATGTCAGACATTTCTCTTTTAATCTTGTGACTATAGTACCCAGATGTTTAAATTCCTTTCTGAATTTCATACAATAATAAATAAAAATGGCTCGTCTTTTATTAGCCTTTTTAACCACTAGATATGATCATTTCCTATAGGACTACAATGTTCATTAATACAGATCCTAAGTGATTACCGGTAAGCAGTTTTACCAACATATACCAGGTTGTGGGAATATTCCATCATGTAAATATCTATAATGTAAAAATAGATCATTGATGAATGCTACAGGCGATGGGTAGCAAACATGAAAGCTGCTTGAAAGTGTAATGAGAGCAGGAATGCATAAAATTGTGCTTTTGCAAATATTCTTTGACTCATTTCAATCACACAAGTAGAAGATTATTGAACCTTTTCTGTAGAGGAACTAAACTATTGATTCATGTTTATTTAAGTTAGAATCATATTGAGAAAACAAAGTGATTACCTATAAAACATTTTCAGTCAGCTTTATAGATTTTTAAACAAATTTGTTCATTTTATTCTACTTTTATGTCACCGTTTATTTTTTCAGCCTATTTATGATAAATACATTAAGATAAAAGAAAAAGGTTATGTTTTAATAATTAAACTTTTCACCAGGGACAGCATTTGTCTTTCCTCCACAGAAGTGAATGAAAGTATAGTTAGCTCATTAATTGTTTTCAACCCTTTAGGCCTTTCAGAAACTATTAATATTTTCACCCCAGCTGAGCTGATGATACCACAGACTGCATCGCTGAGTTCTCTCCATAGAAACACAAAGGGCTTTAAATGTTTTGTAAACATACTTAGAGGTGTTCATTTATTACAAAAACTGTTTTCATTATTAGTCTTTTCCTATAAGACAGATAAACAGTTTTGTATTCCTTTAAGCCACCTTATTTTTCATACTAAATTGTTTTGATCAAATGTTTCACATTATACTTCTATAGAAAATGTTCAGCTGTTTTTTCAATACTGCCTTAACCAGGTTTTGCTGAAACAATTAAAATAACATTTGTTCCAAGTGTTTTGTTGCTCGACCTGAAAATAGGCTGTCGTGTACAATAAATCACGTCATGTGTGTTTCCATGGGTACACTTGCATGGCTCTTTCTTTTTGATCTGAAACATATAGAATCTCTGAGATATTCATGCCTTTCCCTCCGAGTATAAAACAACACAGCTGGGTGTGAAAGACCACAGAGCATCTAACCATGTTAAACATAAAAGCAGTGTCTTGTTTAACTGCCAAATGATGCAATTTATGTGGATCTACTTCAATATGTGAAGTATAATTCACATAAAAATCTCTGAAAATACAAAGTGTTTGCAATGAAACGCTCTCAGCTAAAACCCATCTACTGTAATACTTAGTGACTTTATTTCAAATAAAACAGGTGAGAAAATAGACATTTAAAGAAGTTTACGTGAACAGAAATGTCAAAGAGAAACTGGATTAATTAAGCTGTACATTCTTTGAGCTCTTAGTTCAGACAGATAAAAGACATAGTTCATTATCATTATTCACATAATACAAACACTGGAAATAAAAATGATATAAAGGACTGAAGGTTCTATATACAGGCGGTAAAGATTGCAATTATTTCAGAATTGCCTCCAGTGAAGACATTTATGAGTGTGACGCAAAAGCTGAATGTTAGTGTTCATCTATGAATAGATGCTGATTACCTCTAGCTTTATGTCACAGATACAAATATCAGTGATTAAAGTATTTCAACAATTTGAGACGAATTCTGTTTGATTATGTTCTCTGCAAATTAAAGTTTGTGCTATACGAGTGCATTAAACAAACTCTTCAGTAACTAATTATGCACAGTACATGATACAGTTTTTTTAACAGCTCCTTGCAGCTACAGGCACAATCAATATTTCAAAAGACTGAATGGCCATGTGACATTTACTGTAGTGACTACAGAGACAGGAATGTTCTTAATGGTCTAGTTAAAAAAACAAAAAGGATCAACAAAACAATTAAGGCTTCATCAGTGTAGTGACAAAAATAAAGTATGAAACCGCGCGTTAGGTGAACAGTAGGCATGGGAAACAGGCAGCAATAATTTAAAATAAGGACAGCTTTAAAAATTAAAAAGACCAAAAGTAAATAAATTAAAAATGTGAATCTTATGTATTAAATCATACTTTAGTACCCTAGTGTAAAAACAAATACATTCATTTGCTTAAAAGTTTTTTATTATCGTTATCGATTGCCAAATTAAATTAATTCTCACAATTTTCCACCACTTTCAAATCTTTTTACCTCTGAAGGGAAAAATGTGCATAATGTTCCAACGCATTCATACCTCTGAGTCCAGTGTGATAACAGTAGAAGCACATAAAAACGGTGATTTAGCGATATAATTTGTCAGAAAACGGCCCCTCACACCGGCTTGGCATTGAGCGCGTGCAGGATGGAGGGTTGCTCCTCGATGACTCGGACCAGCAGGTTGTCGATGTACTGCTCCAGCTCCTCGATCTTGGCGCTCTTCTTGGACAGGTCGGTCTGCTGCTTGACCACCAGTGTTATCAGTTCCTCTTGTGTCAGCTGACTGTAAGGACCACCACCTGAGTCTCCCCCCTGACAGGAAGAAAGTATCGAGTTAGTGAATGGAAAAACATCCCGGCCTGTTAAAAGAGCCTTCTGCTTCATTTCTGAAGAAAACATAGAAATGAATGCTTTTTCTGAGATGCAAGGTTATGTTCTTAGCCTTTTATTCCAGTTTTTTATTTACAAATGTGTTTTCTTTATGGATTTCATATCAATGTTCTCAAACCTTGTTTTGCTGAGCTTTTGTGCCACTATCCTTTACAGAAAATGATTTTTTTTTAACCAGCTGAGCAAAACTCAATCTGCTTAGTAGAATAACAACATTGTGGGGTTACTTTTAATCTTTTAGAACACATACACACAAAAAAACCCAAACACATAAAAACATCCACTTTGGAGGCACCACTGGGCATTTTTTACCTACCGGTAATTACATTTCAATTCACACTTCTGGGGTCTTAAAATAATATTTAAAAAAAAACAGTTTGTAAATAACCGCTGTGTAAATTAAAGCTGCAGTGTGCAGGGGACATTATTTATTCAAATGATAATTTATTTCACTGTTGTGAGAGGATATTTGAAGTTTGTTATAGTTTCTAATAAAACTGATTTACCTTAGTCTTTCCAGGAGTGGTGTCCCAAACCCTGATCTCCTTGACAGCAGGGCTGCTGGTGGGATGCTGGCTCTCTGAGCTCATGGGCTTCACAGGATGAGGCCTGTAAAAAATAAAATTCATAAAAGTTGTATGTAAAGCCCACAAACCCTATTAACTCTGTACAGGTTAGTAGAAAACCCCTGTATTTTTTAGAAAACACATTGAAACCAGGCAATAAAATTAAAGAGGTCATGTTATGCTTTTTGAGTATTCAAAGTTTCTCCTGCATGTTCTTGCTCCTAACAGAAAAGAAGCAGCTGCCTCACAGTCCAGGACTTTTTTGCCGATCTCAAACAGAACTACGAACATGTAAAGGAGCATAATATGGACCCTTTAAACCACAGGTGTCTTAACTCCAGTCCTCGAGGGCCACTGTCCTGCATGTTTTCTTGTTTTCTTGCTCAAACACACCTGATTTGCATGAATGGATGATTAACAGGCTTCTACAGAATTTAAGGAGTTAATTGAAGCACTGAATCAGGTGTATTGAAGCAAAGAAACAAGGATGCAGAATAGCGGCCCTCGAGGACCTCAGTTTGACACCCCTACTTTAAACAGTGCCACTGTGTGGTTTATTATAATCTAAGCGATTCCAAGCTCCAATTTCAGAATAAAAATGCAGAATAAGAAATGTTTCTGAAAGCCCAAAAGTAACCCTAACACCCAAGATTAATCCCAACAACCTACTTGCCACCAGATACAAGAGCACCACAATGAAAACCCCTTTGATAATAGATAAATCAGAACAAAAGGTTCATAAACACTGACTTGGTAACAGCCCATTAAATCTCACCTGCGTGCACTTAAGCCTAGCCCACCTCCACTGCTATTCTGAGTACTGACGGGCTGAATGTCAGAGGGTGACACCCATGCTCGCAAAGGTGATTTCCCCCCAGACAAGTTTTCTGTCTGAGGAGCTGGTTCCTCCAGAACCATGGGGAGGGACTCTGAGGGAGCTTGAGATGAAGGTGCATAAAAAGATTCAGCACAGGTTGGACCTTTTCCTGCATTCAAACTGATTTGTGTTTTTATATCAATTTGTGGCTGCAGTGTGTCTAATCCATCATTTGAAGAGAAGATTTCTTTAGCCTCTTTGGATTCTGGTTCTTCTTCAGGCACCAAAGTCTTGTTTTCAGAGTGAATTTTGGCTGGAAGCGTCTTCTTTCCTCTCTGTGAATTTTTTCTTTGGAAAGTAGGACTAAGTTGCTTTGAATCCTCATTTGCTTTTCTGAGGTCGTTCTGTTTGACGGTATCACTGGCACTCCACGGATCAGTTGTTTTTTCTTGAGTTAAGATTTTATCAAAATGTTCATGTTCAGGTTTCTGCTCCGTTTGCAGATTCCTGGTAAAAATATCAACTTCCTGGTTATGACCCAGTTTGGAAAGACTATCTGTACTGGGCTGTGCAAAGTTCTCCTTTTCCTTTTGGTCCCTACTGCTCACATTTGAACTGGACAATGTTTGCAGGTTAGTCCTCACAGCAGATTTTTCTTGCTGTTTCGGCTCGTTGCCACCAACTCTTTGTCTGGGTTTGGCTATTGGTGCTTCTTTGTTCAAGCTGGCTTGTGCTGTTTTGTCTACCTCTCTGATACTCGAAGAATCTACAACTGTTTGAGGGACCCGAGAGGCTGCTTGCTTAGAGGGAGATGGGGATGATTTTTTAAATGATGCAGGTTTAGTCTTCTGAAATTTCCTCATCGCAGCATAGTCATGTGATATAGATGACCTAGGACTTGGTGCAGGCTCTGCCGGGCCATCCACACTCATCTCAGGACCCATAAGCTCAGGAGGGTACTCTCTATACTTCTGACTGACCTCAGCAACTAAGTTGTCCCACTGAATTTGCCCCTGCACTCCATGTCTTTTTTTAGAAAAAAGGGTATTGTAATCGGGAAGCGGCAAAGAAGTTTTCTTTTCTTGTCGCGATCCATCTGTTTCTTCAAATGCAGGGTTTTGGATCTCTCTAACATGACCCAGATTTCCTCTATTCTGGGTTCCGTTTATAGGGTACGAAGGTGGTTTTCTCTTCTGATCTGCCATGGTGGGGGAAGATCCTCCAGATTCCAGAAAAGGCAAATCCTCAGTGCTGCTATGAGGAGAACCTGACAGTTCTTGGCTTATAAGTGATGAAGACAACGATGTAAAAATGTTGGAGAAAGTTCCAGGGGGCTCTGAGCCTAACCTCTCTAGTGCTCCATCAGAATGGGCTGGGGAAGGACAGGGCTGACTGGGACTTTGGCAGTCAGCAGGTTCAGACTCCAAAATTTGATCTGATCTGCCAAAAAGCAAAAACAAAAACCTAAAGGTCAGTGCGACCAAAGTCACTTTTACAATAGGCAACCTGTGACCAAATAAACTAAGGTTCCACAAATCAACAAGCTGATGTCTGCTCTGATATTCTCCTCATACACAATCTTCCTTTAAATAACATTCAGTTACTTAACTACTTCATTAGTCTTTTAACAAAAATATTTTCAGTTATGCAAAATAACCAACATATAAAATTAAACTCTGTTCTACGCTAAAGGCTAACAACTAGACAACACTGACAAGTTTCTATTTTTAGCTGCTACTGAGAAATGTCTACACCAGCACAGGGTCATCATCATATTTAGAATATAATGAGCAAACACACAAAATGTACAACAAATACCCATAATGACAGAAACACCCTTGACTACCTGTGTTACTAACTGCAAGCTTTGTAGTTTTTGAAAACAACAAATAACAGAAATGATAACAAAGATAACAGTCTTACCATTATGATCAAATTACAAGCCCAGCCCGACTCACTGCACACGTTCAAAAAACAAAATCTACCTGAAAACCTAAATCCAGACACCATGGACATCGACACAGAGAGAGAATCACTAACTTGTTCTCTCCTTCTGAGCTCTGTTCAGCCCACAACTTGTTCAACAGCCTTTTTCCCAGAACCAGCCCAACCTGTCTGACCGGTTCGTCAACCATTAGATGGCATTCTGACTTTAGGTTAAAAAAAAAGGCAAGGCATGTTTGAGTCGTGACCAGAAACATGTCAAAAACTCGTGGAATGTGCAGTTTCCATGTTTAAACACATGGTGTAGAACAAAAGATATAAAATAAAATAAAATAAACAAGCAGTAACTGATTATTTAAATGTGTTTTAATGAATAGTGTCTTTCAAAAATCAAGACCAGAGTGTCTTTAAGCTGCCACTGGCCGTTCAGAAACCACACAGATGGGAGTTTTTAAAAATGAAGCAAGCATCACATTAAAGTCAGAACAGAACTCAGCTGTGTTAATGTGGAGCACAGAGCATAAATGTGACAGACGTGTCCCTCATGTCGTTTTCAAAACATGGCAAATTAATTCAGTTTACTGATCCTTTTTGAGGTTCATTATCTTTTTAACTAAATGCACAGTTGCTGTGTCATTACTGATGATCTTCCATCCAGCACAGATCAAGTCAGCACGACGGCTCAGCGGTTAGCACCGACACCTCACAAAGAAACGCCTCACAGCAAGAAGGTTCTGGGTTCGATCCACGGTTCAGACCTGGGGAATCTGTGTGGAATTTGCATGTTTACCTCATGCTTGTGTGGGTTTTCTCCAGGTACTCCGGTTTCCCCCACACCCCAAAATCATAAACAATAGGTTACCTTCAGGCCCAGGCCTCCCTTGAAAAAGAGATCTGCAATCTCAATGGGATTTGCCTGGTTGCCTGGTTTTAAAGAAAAGTCAGAGGCAAAGCCAACTTACCTTTTCAAATGTCAACCATTTCAGCTCTGTTACTACCTTACGTCATGGTACAAAACATACATTAGGGGTGAGTTGGCTTCAACTTTCTTTGCCGCCTTGGTTCATTCAGAAACCACACAGAGGCAGCCAAAAGGCCTCCAAGTCTGGGCTTGTAGTGTTTTGTGAAATAGCCTAATGTATGCCTGCTAATTGAGTGCTTTGCTTTGTTTTTGCAGTGTTAGTGCTTCAGATAAATAATATGCTAATATAAAAAAAACATAAAAAATATTCTAATTATATAAACCGATAAAAATTCAATGATCACAAAGCTGCTGATGTCATTTCATAGTATTGGTGCGATGTAAACTTGTTGTTTTATGTAAACAGTACCATGGTGAGAAAAGCTGACCTACCTGGGCTTAACTGCAGACACTTTAGCAGTGCGGTTGAGGAACGTTGTGGAAGAGGGGGTTTGTGGGTTGTGGTTGGGTTTTTGGTGATCTGATGGACTTTGATTGCCGACATGTGGAAAATCTGAGCTGAGGGAAATATCTTCAAATGGATTAGTGGAATGACTGGAGACAGGTTGATCAGGACCTTTAGACACGGAGCGAGAGGCTGGGCTGGAAAGCTGCTCCTCTTTAATTTGTGGTTGTGCCTCCTCCTTTTTCTCCTCCCTCCCTCGGATCATGCCAAACAGAGATGACAGTCTGTCGCTCATAGAGGCCTCCTCCTGGCGTTTCTGCTCCTCTGCTCTTTTACGCTCCTCCTCAAGCTTTCGGTTTTCAGCTGCTTCTAGCATCCTGCGCTCCTCTTCTCCTTTTCTCCTTTCCTCCTCCTCCTTCTGTTTCTTCCTTTTGGCTTCATCTTCAATGGCTCGTCGTCTTCTCTCCTGTTCCTCTTGGTGTCTGTGTTGTTCTTCCTCTTGCAGCCTCTTGGCATCTGCCCTGTATTTCTCCTCTTCCTCCAGCCTCTTTGCTTCTGCGATGCGCTTTTCCTCAGCCAGCCTCCTCGTCTCTTCCTCTTGATGGTGCTGTTGCTCCATTAGAGTTTTGTCTGATTCTTGTCTATAGGATGGAACAGATAAGCTTACAGCGGAATCTGCAAAGGCATCAGTTGTGTGTTTGCGGACATCCTCCACAGAGCCTTGACCTGAGCTGTTTAGACTGAGTGTAGATCCAGTCTTAGCTTCTGCCTCCTTAGCGTAGACATGGCTGCCATTGATGCACAGGTTGTTGGCATCATTGTTGCCCTGTTTGGATCGGCCCAGTAAGGAGAAACCACCCAGAGACACTTTGCTGTCAGAGCTACCTGTGCGTTTGTGTCCCAGTAATTTGAATTTCTTTTTCCCTGCAAGCAGAAGAGAAGCATGATGTCACGGTTAGAATGCAAAGCACCCCTATTGAACTTGCTGTGTGCGTGAGAGGAAAGCCAGAAATGCAAACACCTACAGACAGTGTATACAGAAAGGTTAATTTACCTTCAGGAGAATCAACATTGAGGCCAGAAGAGCGGCTGCCACTGAGAGATGAATTCTTTTCAGGCAGTGTCCCAAGTGTAGACATGGACTGCGAGATGTTTCGATGCAAGTTTGATTTAGGGGCAAAGAGGGTTTTAAATTTAGGTTTCTTCTTTCCTTGTGGAGACTGACTAAGAGACTGTGTGTCAGCTTCTCCCTCACTGTCTGTGAGGACCTGGTTCACAGAGGGAACAATAGCTGAAGCAGAATCAGAGAAGCCGTCCTTTTTCTTTCCCCGGACTTTGTCCTTCAGCTTAGAGATGCGAGAGCGAGGTTTGTCCTCCTGTGAAAGGTCAAACATGCTGGCAGACATGTTGTTTCTCATAAACTGGACATCTAGCAGCACCTCCCCTCGCACCTTGTCCTCCTTTTTATCCTTGTTCACCAGCTTGAACCACCTGAAAAGACCAAAACTGTGTCATGATATTTTTTTATGTGATGAGATATATTTATAAATTAGTGGCAGGCATTCTTTTAAATCAAGCTTTATTACTGTGAGAAGGTTATTACACAGCAACAGAAATCAAACTTACAAGTATTAGCATATCAGTATTAGCATATTAAAAAGTCTTTTTTACTCAGACATATTGAAAGAACAAGAAAAAAAAACTATAGTCTGAGACTCTGACCTTTTGCAGTGTTTCCCCTACCATTATACAGCCCCCCCCCCCCCCGCCAACGAGATGGCCCGCCCCTCTAAGAATTTCACGGCATGTAGTCAATTTTATTTAAATAAGGCCAGATCAATTCGAGAGCTATTGTTTTGCGTCCCTCCATACCCACCTCTCGCCAAACTTGGGGGGGAAAGACGGCGCAGAGCGAGGCTGAGCGCTGTGTGTGGTCCTCACAAAGATAGGAAGACGTGTGTGTGATTAGACGGCAATGAAAACTCTGCTTCTAATCACGTAGCACCGATGCGAAAGCTTTGCAAGCTGCTTTTTCTTTCTTTAAAAGAAAGTGCGACAGGTGAAGCTGCAGCATGCTTACCTTAACCTTAATAATTACTGCCTTTTTTCCTTTCTCTGGGGGGGGGGGGGGGGGGGTCAGCTTCACTCAGCTGCAGGGGAACACCGCGTTTCTTGGACTATTTTCCACTAAGGATTACGTCGTATTTTATATTTATTATATTTCTAAAAGCACTTCACAGCATTTTCCCGTGTGTTCACGTCACGAGCGCAACAAAACCGCAACGGATCAGCTGACTGTTTTTAAAGCGAGAGGCAGCGAACATGTCCACCTGCAGCTCGGCTCCGACCAGCCCGGGACTGAAGAGTTCACACGTCAACCCCTTCAGACGTTTACGTGTTTAAAGAGCATCAAATATCTGTAATTTGCTCAAAAAAAAATCAGTATTAATCACGCGACGCGGGGGGTGGGGGTGAGGGGGTGGAGGTGCGCTGACCGCAGCTGCGTGGGGTGGCTAATTTTTTGAGAAGGACCTCTATAGCTAAATAGTTAATCATATTTCTGAAGGACTAAATGCTAATTTTGCTCATTAACTGAGAAAAATGTAAAACAGGAAGCGTTTGTTCTGCACATGATAAAGTAATGATTTTTTTTCATTTGTCATTATTAGTTTTATTTTATGTATACCATTGGCATTATGTGACTTATTCTTTTGTTCTCTTATTGAAAAGATTAATCAAATACAAAAATATAATCTGAACTGGAAATTGGCAAAACTTTAGAGTAATTGCACTATAATAATACCTATAACTTTTGCAGAAGCACTAATCATGGTTAAGCTTTTCCAAAATTAAAATTTCTTTATCTCTAAAGTCTGAAAACTCTGTCATCTAACACAAACTCTGCTGGCTTTTATTTTTATTGCCAAACAGTTTGTTGATCTCATCAAGTTTCTTCTATCTATTATTTGAAAAGATGGCATAATACCATGAAAAGAAGCATATCACCGGTCCAAACTTTGTGTTGCATAAACAAGCTAGTCATCTGCAGTTCATGTGAGGTTTACTTTTGCAGACGTTCACACACACTCCTCTGGGAAGAGTCAGGAAGCGAGCTTGGGCGTGAACCAACATTCCTCAAACACATTCAAACACCCAGGGAGGTGCAGAAGTACAGAACATGATGTAATGAGTTTTAATTACAAGTTTAAAGTAACTTTTTTTTTCACACACTAAGGCGAGAGGGGTGTGGTCAGACTATAACCAAAAACATACAGAAAACCTTTTCTCAGTCCAAAATAAACTCTTTGTTGTCCTTTAAACAATTAAAGAAGGGTGTGCACTTGACCAACAACAAAGACATGATACATTAACGTAGGTGGTAACAGAACATCAGGGTGTTCAGGTTATGTTTGCTTTGCACATGGCCCTGACGCATGATGTCACTGGCCCAGATGAACAGGTTTTTGTTTTTAACTGCTGCCTGGGCTTCTGTTTTATATGTAATAATTAAGAAAAGGCTCCGTTTAGACTGTGAGAAACACCAGGATGAAACCAACCAATTATATAAAGGCCAGACTGTTTCTATCAAAAATCTTGTCATGATTATGATTCACTATTATATTGGGACTGCTTGTTGATTTTAAAATATCTAAACAAAAACCCTCATATGGACACCAAAGACAAGATTCATTCAAAACCACAGAAGGAAATTCTCATGTTGGGTAAATATTCTGAGCATCGAATGCCAGGAAGGAAAATCTAGAATGAACTGCTCATTGTTGAGACAACAAATACTGAGGCTCGGGTGTCTGGACACATGACGCTCCCTTTAAAAACAAAAGGCTTCACAAGAACTGGTCTAATGGGATTATGACCTTAAAATATATCAACAGCTAAAAAAAATCTGAGTTACTATCTAACATGTAAGTAACTAAGGTAAACATAAGCATAATTTAAAAAATTATAATAATTTTTTTCCCTTTTTTTTTTTTTGTTATAACAGAGTGTTTAGGAGAGTCAACCCGTAACCTGTGGGTTGCTGGTTCGACCCGGTTCCATCCGTCTAAGTCATTAACAGTGCTTGGAGCGAATGAACCAGGCTATACGCAAAGTGTAATTACATCAGACGTTGATGTTACGCATGGCTGTAGCAAACAGGAATAAAGTCGCAAACTTGCAGGGATCTCAGGACAATGGAGCGAAGTTATCAGGAACTCGTTCATACTATCGGGGAAGTTGTAATTATTCTGTCATATCAACTAGTACTGGCAATGTAACATGCCGTCTGGAGAAATGCAATTCTCTTCACGTTACAAAAATATCTGGGAAGACGCCAACATCACCTTGACTGCTGGTGGTGGTCAGACGGCCCGGTGGCAGCCTCGCCTTTGTTAGTGTGCCCCAGGGCAGCTGTGGCTACACTGCAGCTTAACACCATCAGTGTGTGAATGTGTGTATGAATGGGTGAATGTTTGAAGTGTAAAGCACTTTGGAGTCCATTGAGACTTGATAAAGCGCTATATAAGTTCAAGCCATTTACCATTTAAAATATATGGACATTTTTTGAATTCACCCATAGATGGTGAACAAGGCCCCATTTCTAAAGCTTAAATACCCAAGAAGGAAGTCCCATTAGTTATGCTAGACAATCATCTAAATCAGAAGCGTCCAGTCTTGGTCCTTAAGGGATGCTTTCCCAGTTCCAGATTCAATGGTTGACACTGAATCACGTGTGTTTCCCTGCTCCAACACACCTGATTCAATTACTTCAAGTTCTTCAGCTTGTTAATCAATCACTCATTCATTCAAATCAGGTGTGTTGGAACAAAGAAACCGCTAACATTATGTTTGTCCTCCATCACTGCAACCTTTACATAAACTTTTAAGTTTTAGATAACAGAACAGTAATGTGAACAATTATCAAAGATTAAAATAACAGTTATTGTGATTTTTTTTAAATAGAACTGGTTCAGGCGAAGCTTCATATAACTGGTTGGTGACCAGAATCGGGGGATTTTAAGCTCAACCAGCTGGAGTGGTCCCTGACTAATGCAAAACTCAAATGTAATTTCCTACTACATCAATGATAACTTTATTAATCCTCATTGGGCAAATTAATTCTACGCATTTTTCCCATCACACGTGAGCATACGGAGCTGCCAGCTGGAGGGTTAAGGGCCTTGCTCAAGGGTCCACAGTGGGGTAAATGAGTGTCCTTTCGCACCCAAATTTTATGTGCTGGTTTGGGGATTAGATCCTCAAACCTCAAAATTCAGGATTGCCTCCTCTAACCTCTGCACCTCCCAATCACCCCAATCATTCATGAACACAGCAACGTGTAATAATTTTCAATCTGCGATACTTTGTCTTACGAGTGGAAATTTTTGATTGGGAGGAACTGACTGAAAGTAACTATTTGAAAAAGGTGTTAAAAATAAAGTCAGAGGAAGTACAAGAGGCGTAAGAAGCTGCTAAATAAAAAGCCTACTGGAGGTGTGTATGCTGACATTTTTCCACATGCTTGTTTTCCTATACATTAGCATCTGACACTGAAACTGGAGACATATTTAGTTCATGCAGTTTTATGTTATGATTGTGTGCAATAGAAGATAAGAATGTTAACAGGCTATAATCTGGTTTATAAATTTAAAAAGAAAATGTATGATAATTCTTGTTCTGTTGGGTTTCATTTGTCCAAATACATCTGTTCATGAACTTGGAGGATTATTAGTTGCATTACATGTTGATTACCAGTGGAAAATAATTTGCCATTTAAAAATAATAATAATAATAATTTGGATGTTTGTGATTATACTTCATAGAGACGAATCAGATTCGGCTAAAGCTGGATTGACAGGTCGAAGCAGTATTATAAGCAAACATGGCAATGACTGATGCATTAATTTATTTATTAATACTGTACATTTGTCTGCTACATTAACAGTAGTGATTCACTGCTGCTGTGACATTTATTTATTCATTCATTTTCTTGTTATTAAGAAAACGATCCACCGTTTCATTTTTCTTTGTCGTCTCTATAGAGTCAGAGTCTAAAACTAGGATTTGGTTCTGAAAATAAGTGAGAACTGGAAGGATAGCTTTGAGCAGTAAAACAAAGTATTGAATGTCGCACCCTGTGTCAGCGCTACAGGGAGGCAGGGTGGTAATGTAAAACCACACAGTTCAAGGGGAAAAAACAGCAACATCCAATACCCTGTATGCATTCTGAATCTTAAAGGAGACCGAAGGAGCTCAAGAATGAGAACAGCAAGAAATGACCTTTGTCATAAAGCTGTAAAAAGAACCTGGGCAAACATGCTATAAAGTTTCAGATAAGCCGCCAGCATAATCAAACAAATGAGGTAATTGTAGAACCATATCAAGGCAGCTTATGGCTGAGAGATTACAGAGAGCTCACAATCTCCTGCACACTATTTATTTATTTTTTTAATGAAAGTTAAATCCAAGGTGTTGTGAACTCAGAGTCTATTTTTGGCTCTTTATTTTGAAAGGTTCTCTTACAAAAGAGGGCACATTAACACTAAAGCCATGTTTTTATTTTGGTTCTTGTCACACCCATGTGACACCATCAGCTGCATCAAACAACAAACGTCATCCTGGTTTATAGGAAACAAATCTGGGCGTGGGCAGTCTTATAACCCTGAGGAATGTGTGGGATTACCAGCAGCAGTGAAAGGTTGATTTCCAGGTTAGGCCTCCGTGAACGAGCTGCCACTGGTAATGTTGGCTTTGGACCAATTTGTGAAGTAAAAGTCGCAAAGAAATGTTAGGTCTGGTCCAATACAAACAAGACAGTTAGTGTTTTCAGCTTTTCACAACCACAAACTAGTAAGAGGAAGAAGGTGTGGGAGGTTCCACTAAAATACAAAAGGGTGACTTGGTTTTGTTTGCGTAACCATTTGTGGGGAAAATAATAATAATACAGGCAATTTATGTCCAAAGATGTGATATAATTTCAGGCATAATGTCCCATCTTATTTGGCTAAGCTAATAAATAAATAAATAAATAAATAAATAAATAAATAAATAAATAAATAAATAAATAAAAACCTTTCAGAAAACTCAAACTTGATAATAATTTTTTCTATGCTGGCTTATAAAACATAGCTGCTACTCTAACATCTCTACATGTTTCCCTAAAGTTATGTTGATTTCAGCACTATTTGCTTTTGGGAAAAAAATACACCTAATGCAAAAATAACTGACATTTGTGATTTATGAAAGCGCTACGAAATAATTAATTTCGGAGCAACTTCTGTCAGTGGCATTGTTTACCTCAAACAATAGAACGCTTTTCAGTTTCACAAAAATACAAAACCAGCTCTCATTGTTTATCACGGTGTTTGTCCTTCAAATAATAACAAGATTAAATAGGGTTTTTTTTTTTCCAGCACGTACTGAATAATAAGTCAGATCGATGCACTGACAGTCCATTAAGCTAATTGTCTGAAAACACAAAAAGGAGGCAATTTAATTTCTAAAGTTTAAAGTCTAAACAAGAGATGATGCAATATATGCATATATAATTAGGTATATTTTACAAGTTGGTTATTCAGTAGAACCTTATGGGGGCCATTTTGGATTACATTTTATGAGAATTATTCATATATACATACTGTATGTGTGTGTGTGTGTGTGTGTGTGTGTGTGTGTGTGTGTGTGTGTGTGTGTGTGTGTGTGTGTGTGTGTGTATATGCTTAAGTCGCTCTGTAAAATAAAGATATTTTCTAAAGGAACAAAACAACATATTGGAAATGTAAAACAACCATGTGACAGAGCATAGGCACACCTGAATTCTTTCAGGTGATGCTGCACTTACTTCTCACTAATCAAGAGGGAATCAACAATACATCTGAATCACAATAAACGTCACTGCAGCTACAGTTACTCACTCGGTCTTTTTGCGGGACTTGTTGTCATACAGCTCCACTAAGTTGATCACAGCTTGGCCCAGGAACTTGTCCAAGCCCACCTGGGCCCGGTGCATGATGATGATGTACAGCGTGCACCGCTCAGCGTTTCCCGGGTGGAAGAGCGGCAGGTCGAACGAAGCCTCCTCCTTCCACACCGGGGCCACGCTTTTTTCGGCCACGGCGGTAGAAAACTTATCTTTGGCCACCTGGATGATGGCATAGGCGTCGTTGGTGCCATTCTTGCCCTTGACCCGCACGTTCCGAGCCTGATGCACCGTGACCAGGACACTCGTGGGAAACGACTGCTGGCTCTGGTCGAGCAGAGACATCGTCAAAAAGTTCTTAAATTACCTGAAAAGTTGATCTGAACTGCTCAAGATAGTCTAAATCGTGGGAGTTGTCCCTCTTTTCCTGATGTTTAGTTTTTCGTCTTCCCTAGCCTACTTCTCGGTGAACCACCAGGAAGCTCACTTTACCGACAAATTACTCTTCAGCACCCTTATAAAACTTGAGTTTAGTTAAGTCGACTTAATAATTTTACAAAGGTTCTAACCTGTGTAACCCAGCCAGAACATGATTACAAAGTGACAAGTTTTACCAGGAAGCTTTTGAGAACTGCTCTCGAGTTTCACTGTTCACTTCACTTCCCTAAGTTATGAGTTCCCACCCGTATTCTGCATAGAGCCCATTGATTGGCTAATTATTTTGTCAGTTTTCTAAAGTCCGACAGTGATTGGACAATAAACTATGAAGGGGCGGAGAAAAACGTATACCGTTAATTTGCCTTAACAAACATACTGATAGAATAAAATGAGAAAGGGATATTTTGTAATTTGTACTGAAGTGCCACAAATTGTAAGCCTAACCCATAACAATTGTTCTTAATAATAATAATAATTTCCTTTATACTGTATATAGTTCTAAATGTACAAAATCCTGTAGGGGATAGATAGATAG